GACACAAAGATCTGTGTGCTGCCTACATTATGGGTTGTGCTCTTGCTGTTATTTTGGATGAGTTGTTGTCACAGCAACCACAGTTGTTGTTATTTCTTCTTCTATGAATGTTAATCCCTTCACCTGCTCCACCATACATTGAGATGTTCCTGGTTGAGGACACAGCTATTCCTTCTGCCATTCATCCTAACGCCAGCCCTGTGAGGAAGGTCTGGCTCATTTACCTCCTCTTTCCTAGGTGACCTGCTCCATGGCTATCAATGAATCCTGGCAATGAGCCCTGGATCCACATGCTTAAGCCCAAACTTGTTGGTTGTTTTGTGGGTGCAGGTCTGATCACCGCTGGCATGGGAGAGATGGTGAAGTAGTGGCAATTTTACTTTAGCTTTCAGTGTTGGTTTCTAGCCAAGGCAGGTTTTATTTTCATGTTGTTGTACTGTACCTTCAAGTCACCTCTGACTCAATGTGACCTTAAGACGAACCTTTCATGTGGCTTTCTTGGCAAGATTTGTTCAGAGGGAATTTGCCCTTCTCTAAGGCTGAGAGAGTGTGACTTGCCCAAGTTCACTCGGTGAGTTTTCATACTGAGCAGGGATGCAAACCCTGGTCTCCAGGAGCCAGCATGGTGTAGTGGTCTGAGTGTTGGAGTAGGACACTGGGAGGCCAAGGTTCAAATTATGGGAACTCACTGGGTGACTCTGAGCTATTCACATTATCTCAGCCTCAGAGGGAGACAAAGGCAATCCCGCATTGAACACATTCTGCCAAGAATCTTGTGATAGGTTCACTTTAGGGTCAAGATAAGTCAGCAATGACTTGTAGGCACACAACTACTGGAGTCCTAGTCGTACAGTCTTCACTTTTGCATACAAACTTAACAGCTTTAAGTCTCAGCATTAAATACCCCCAGTCCAACATCTGTCTCCTGTAATTTGTTATCAAGAATACAGATAAGAGGCCTGCTCAGTCACACAGCGCACCCAGCCAATCTTCAGGATAACCAGCATTTTTGATCTGTGGGGTGGGCATACTAGCATCCTGCATTGTGTTTCATATTCAGATGTTCTAGCATCACAGCAAAGAGGAAAAAGAAGGGTGGGAAATCTGTATTCATCAATTTTAGTAAAGGCAGATGAAATAACAGAATGTAAGTCCATTTGTAAATTATGCTGATTTATAACGCTTCCAAATGTTGCAAGTGTTGTTAAATCTTCTGTCTGTTGGGTCATAGGTGGGGGAAAGTTATCCTTCCAGCACTGAAGTATCAGTCTTTTAGCAGTCAAGAGGGCATGAAAGATTCAAACCATTTACTCATGACTCAGACAAAACTAAAAACGCAATCCTAAAGGCTTAACGCACAAGCACACACTGAAGCTGTCTTGAATCTCGTATTGGGTGAAAGGTAGACCATTACTTAATTGATTAATATCCCACATTTCTCCCAGCACAGGATTCAAGGCAACTTGTCATTGTGTGCCTTCAAGTCATTTCCGACTTATGGTGACCTTAAGGCAAACCTATCATGGGGTTTTCTGGGGCTGAGAATGTGCCACTCACGCAAGGTCACCCAGTGGCTTTCCATGGCACAATAATCCAGCTACAACAGAAGAAAGAGAAAAAAATGATGACAGGTGTAAACAAATGAAGAATCTGTTTTGAGTTGTTGTGTGCCTTTAAGTCATTTCAGGCTTATGGTGACCCTAAGGCAAAGCTATCACAGGGTTTTCTGGGTCTGAGCATGAATGAATCACTCAAGATCACCCAGTGGGTTTCAATGTCCGAGTGGGGAATCGTACCCTGATCTCCAGAGTTGTAGTCCAATGCTCAAATCATCACATCATGTTGACTCTCTCAAGGCAATTTGCATCCATTAGTTTTTTAATTTGTACAGTGTTTTTAAATGGATGTGAGGCAATTTACATCCAATTAAAACACAGTACAAATAAAAAAACTATTAATACTAAATTAATAAGAAGCAGAATAAAATTAACTCGCAGACCCCAAAGATGCACATGCCTTGTGGCTTTTTCTGTAATGGATTGCTGGCCTCTTTTACTAGATAGATGCCATGTTTCCCTCCCTCCTCCATTTTCATGATGGTCAGATGAAGGAAATATCTTCTTTCCAGACATTCTTAGTAAAAATTGGGCTGCGTGAGTAGATTTTAGCTTTCTAAGTGGATGTATGGCGGCACACCTCCTAGGACACATATTTTTCTTGCCTCCTGGTCCTAAGAAAAGACTTGCCAATAGACCTCCATCGTGTTTTTCTAGTAGCCAACATATTTGGGGCTATGAGTATGTTTTCAGAGCACCTAAAGCTCTGAATGAATCTAGGGTTTAAGCATCTGGGCAAGAGTCTCATTGCCTCCCAAATCATTCTAGTAACCAGATTGTCTTGAGTGACATATGTACCAAATTTCAGAGCTCTAGGAAAGGATCCTAGTGATGCTGGTGCATCAGTGTTCATGGGTTAGCAGGATGGGAGTCAACCAGGCTCCAAATGTCTTATTGGTGCTACGAAATGAAGCTTGCAATTCCCCGAGCCATAGCTGTAGCTTATGTTTCACGTATACCTTCCCCAAATCCCAAGCTTGGAGATGCAGTGGGATGACTACAGCCCAAACGCTCTATTTCACAGAGTGTGCAGTTTGATTTGCTGCAGCTTGGATTGCTGCTGGCCTCTTTGAGGCAAACATCATCCCATCCCCTAACTTTTGGTGCATATGTGCCCAAGTTCAGGCTATTCTAATAACTGGCATGTCTGATCTCAAATTATGTGTGTACCAAATGTTAGGTTTCTGGGTCTCCCGGAAAGACCACTAGCCATTTAAAAGTACACTTCTTGCTCCCTGCCCACACCGACTGCAGGCTGGCCCTACCGTGATACTGAGCGAGGCAACCACCTCAGACAGAAGGTTTGGTTGTCATGAAAGAGCAGAGACTTGTTAGCTGTTTAATGCAGGGATAGGCAACCTTTTTGAGCAGGGGGCCGGGTTGCTGTCCCTCAGACAATTGTGGGGCCGAAGCAAAAATAAATAAAATTTTAAAATTATTTTTTTAAAAAAAATATGCATGCACACTCTCTCAGCCCCAGAAAAGCCATGATGGCAAAACCCCTGTGGAGATTTTGCCAAGAAAACCCCAAGAACAAGTAATAACAACAATAATCAATATCATCATGGCGAGTGGCAGCGGCAGCAGGGGTTGTCGGCGGCGGCAGCAGGACCAGCCTGGGGCCGGTCCAAAGGCCTCGTTGGGCCGCATCTGGCCCCCGGGCCGCAGGTTGCCTACCCCTGGTTTAATGTATTGTTTCATTTTTACGGCCAGGTATTCTGTGTGGGATTTTCCTCTTTGCTGGTCAAAATAATTTATCTGTCTTTGTCTACTATTAGTGATGGTGATGATGTAGGGTAGATGGAATCATTTGCTGTTGTTCTGCCTCAGGTAGCAAAAAGTCTTGGGCTGGCCCAGAAGAAAACACCAATGAAGATATTTTCCTTTCTTTTTTGGGGGGTGGCAGAGGGAATAGCCTCTGGGTCTGCATCATGGCCACATTGCAGCTTTTTAAAGGTGTATCTACACTGTAGAAATAATGCAGTTTGACACCATTTTAACTACCATGGCTCCATCTTACAGAATCTTGAGATTTGTAGTTTTGTGAGGCACCAATGCACTTTGGCAGAGAAGGCTAAAGACCTTGTAAAACTGCAAATCCCAGGATTCCATAGGATGGAGCTACAGCACTTAAAGTCATTTCAAAAGGCATTATTTCTACAGTATAGAATGCACCTTTAGTTTCCTGAAAGCACTTTCAATACTGCGTTAGGTACTCTGAATCTTCATTTTGAGGGTGATGGCTGCAAAAGTTCAGACACTCCTCTACCTATCCAGATGATTTGGACCAGGTATGTGGCAAATGTGAGGTCTACACTTCTTCAGGAAGTACCTTGATAATTTTAATATATTAGTCAGCCATTTGATGAAAAGCTAGTAATCAGAAAGTGAAATCAACCAAACAACACAAACCAAATTAACAGATCTACAAAATAATTCACGTATTGATGCATTAGGCCTGTAGTGTCACGAAGCAGCTTACCATCACATAATACTGCCTCTTCAAAAGGCCGCCAACTATAATTAGCATATGGTATTAAAGCAATAACATAAAATGGCTTTAAAACACCAGTATTTGAAACAAAACAAAAAATAAATCACCACCAGTAGCAGACCGCATCAGTTAACAGTTGACACTGGATCATCAGTTTAACCAAGTGGTCTCTGAGAGAGGAGGTTTGCCAAGAATGGTGTTGTGTGACCTCTGGTGGAAGTGCAACCTACAGGGAAAGTGCCACAGCATTTCACAGCTTCCTTTCCTCTCAGCCACAAATGTTATTGACACAGATGCTTTGCAAGGGGCATCTGCTTTGCATGTGGATCCTCTCCATCATATGTGTCAGGACAAGCTCAATGTGTGTTGCCACATCATCCCTCCATGATGCCCAGGACCCAAGTGGCAAGTGGCACTAGAACTGAGGAGTGCTGTGTGGAGAAGTTCCTGCACAGGCACTGTTTGCAGTCACCTCCACTGGTTGCGGCATGATGTCTAGACCCCCAAGAAGATCTGTTGTTGGTGCTGCTGCTCCTGCCACTGTTTTTCTGCTGTTAGGTTGACCAAAGACCTTGACTCCAACCTAGCATGAGTAATAATAACAGAGTAATCAAAACCACCTCTTTCTTGCCTAAGAAAATACTATGAAATCCATGGGATTGTCATAGGTTGACAGGTGATTTGAAGACATACACAATCATTGTCATACACAATCGTCATATATTCTACATACATCTGTACTGAGATCCTGCTGAAACTAACACACCGTAAATCACCTTTTCAAAGATTCAAGGGCGACTGGACCCAGATCACCTCCATCAAAAATTATAAGTCAAAAACAACTTGAAGGCACACAACAACAACAACAGCAACAATTAGTGAATGAGAGAGCCAGCATGGTATAATGGCTCCACCATTGGACTACTACTCTGGAGACCAGGGTTCAATTCCCTGCTCAGGCATGGAAACCTACAAGTGACCTTAGGTGACTTAGCCCCAGAAAAACCCATGATAGCTTCACTATAAGTCAGAAATGACTTGAAGGCACACCACCACCATCACCACCAATACTACTTTCTTTCTAGGCTGTTCTGACACAGGATTATATTATGAATGGTCGAAAGGGAGATTTTCTTTCAGTCCTCAAATTTCTAGTATTCCAGAGAATGAAACACTGGAATACTTAGAACTCTTCTATTTGCTGTGTTCACATTTCCTTGATAACTTTCCCTACCCCCTTTTCTTTGGATGCCTAAATTATATTACCTGTATTAAAGGCCCAACTGAAGTTTTATGTTACTGCACAGCTAGAAATTTGGAGAGTGAAGAACAAATTTCATGGGGGAGGCAGAATTCTTATTTGAGGGCAACACCCTCATTATTCCGCCTGCCCCCCCCCCCCATAGATGCATTTCTGCAAAGGCTGCGGTTGGCCTTGGCCTAAGGAGTAGAGAAATCATGCACAACACCCTCATTTGGCTCCCCCCAGATATGCCCCTATTAGTTGCCTAGACAGCCTTCCTCCAACCTGGTTCTGCCTCCTCCAGATGTGTTGGACTGCAAGTCTCACCTTCCCCAAACACTTTCCATGGCAGTGGAAATGATACAGTTCTTGGCGACGGGAGTCCTGATACACTGATGGGCATCAGGTTAGGGAAGGCGACTGAAGCTTTTAGCATGCACTCCCAGCTGCTGGCGCTTATAGCATAGGAGCAGGAGGAACACGGGAAGGAAGGGAGAGGGAGGTTGTGTTTCAGATTTTCCTATCTGGGTTGATCCTGCTAAAATCTTTGTAAATTGGACTATGGCAGGAGTGGGTAAAGTGTGTCCTGCAAAGATGTTTTGGGGATCCTTGGCCTATCCAGGCTCCCTTTTCTCTTACCAAAGGCTGGGGAGGGTGAATTGTCACTGCTGGAAGCCTGCAGGCTTCATAATACACTTTTAAAATAGGTTGTAGAGTCTCCTTGGACTGTTTCAACAATTTAAAAAAATCCATTTTTCAAAAGTAGAAGTGGAGTTCTTCTGGCCAATTCAGTTTTCCTGGGTTTTGGGTTTTATTTTATTTTATTTTTTGTTTTTTGACATTTGGGGCAGTCTGGAGGGTCCCAAAGACAGAAAATTAGCCCTCTGAGCTTGCCACAGTTGCCCACCCTTGGTCTAAGAAGCCACCACGTGGCCAGTGTGTCTTTAATGGTATTCCCTAGGCGGTTTGGTATTCTCAGTATTCTTTTTGATGAAATTAATTGGAAGAAGGAAATTCTCTCACTCACTCGTTCCATATAACATGTTAGGCATGCCAAATGCACCAGATTTCAAATGTATATGAAATCTCCTTTTGGCTGTGCTCCAGATGTTTTGTGGTAGAGTCTGGCTAAAAATGGGAACACTCTGCTCTCCTCCTCTTTAATAACCGGATTGAAACGCCATCTCTACGACCCACTGCTACTGGTCCTTGAAAGCCATCAATGCATTGACTCTTTTCTTTTTTAATAATAATTATAGAGAGAGACTCTGAGAGTAGTATATAAGTCCCCATGTTTGGTATTGACATGTCGGAGTATTTAACATTGGTCTGTTTTTCACATTTGACATGAGCCTGCCTGTTCATTTGGATCATCTGTAGAAGGACTCTTATATGTTCTATCAGCATTGGTTAGAAGGGCCTTCACTGTGGCTGCCTCTAAGCTCCTGAACTTCTGGCCTTGGAAGACCTTTCAAACACCCTCTTTGATATCCGTGATCCACCACATGGCAAAGATCTATTCTTTTTAGAAAAGAGCAGTCTCTCTCTCTCTCTGGTAGATTTTGTTGATTTTCCTGGTACTTTTGAAAGGAAGCTAGTCTGTAGGAAGCCTGAATCTTTTAATTTCTGGTTTATTTTTGTAAAGTTTTTAAAATTGCTCATTCACGAGCTTTATCTGTTGTCTCTTTTTGCTCTGCTGTTTGTTATTACTGGTTTTATTGACTGTCATTGGTTTTAACTGTTAGTATCTATGCAGTGTTATCTATGTAAGTACAGTTGGCCTTCTGTAGCCACAGATTCTTTATCTACTGATTAAAGCATGCATGGCTTGAAAATATTCAGAAAAATACAGTCGTCCTTTTATATTCACAGATTCTTTATCCACAAATTTAACTATCCACAGCTTGAAAATATTTTTAAAAAGATAAATTCCAGAAAGCAAAATATGATTTTGCTATTTTATATAAGGGACATCATATCACTATGCCACTGTATTTAATGGGGCTTGAGTATCCACAGATTTTGGTATCCACGGGAGGTCCTGGAACCAAATCCCAGCAGATACCAAGGGCCCAAAGTATCTGATGTTAGCACGGTGCATATTTAATGAAGTGACAGAGTTCTATACAAATTAATAGTTGGCATGCAATGGCATATAGCGTGCCCTACATACAACAGTCATCATGCAGTAGGATTTAGGGCCTTTGCACACTGCCAGAAATAATGCAGCTTGAGTCCACTTTAACTGTCCTGGCTCAGTCCTAGGGAGTCATGGGAATTGTATTTTTTCTGGGACATTGAGCCTTTTCTGTCAGAGGGCTCTGGTGCCACAACAAACTACAGTTCCCATGATTCCTTAGTACTGAGCCAGGACAGTTAAAGTGGACTCAAGCTACATTATTTTTGGTAGTCTGTAAAGGCCCTTAGTTTTTATGAGGTTTCATGTTTGAGTGCAGTTTTTTAATGCAGTTGAGCTCAATTTTAAATGTAAGTTGTTGTTGTTGCTAATTGAGGCATTTCAAAACGATAAAGAAAATCCAGGAACATTTCAAATGTGAACCCAAACCTCTTGTTCCAAAATAAAAATACCGGTAATTTGTTTCAAATCAGAATGTAGAATTTGAAATTTTGCACTGAGCAATTTGCATAATGAAATGTGAAAGAGGGGTGCATTCTGTATTTTAATACCAGACGAAAAGTCACTTTTTTGAACTATAGCTCCACTGGGGTCCTGGGTCTTCTCATCCCCAAAATATTGCAATTTTTGTCTGAGATTTCAGAGTTTTGGTCAGCCCTGTCCAGTGTTGAAGCCCATGCAATTCTCTGCTCCAGGGGAATCATCAATGTGGCCTCTTCCACCAACCTGCTGACCGACTCCAAGAATGTGCAGCTGGTGCTAGACCCTTCCCTGCAGCTGCTGAGCCGTAAGCAGCGCAAGCTCATCCGCCAGAACCCAGGCATCCTCCACAGCATCAGCAGCGGCCTACAGAGCGCCATCAAGGAATGCAAGTGGCAGTTCCGTAACCGGCGCTGGAATTGCCCCACCACTCCCGGGCCCAACATTTTTGGCAAGATTGTCAACAGAGGTAAGCAGGCTGCAGGGCTAGGAGACAAGGATGGAGGTGGCGGCAGAGGTCTATTGGGATGAGCATCTCCTTGTGCCTCTGGCTGAGTGTAGTGCTGGACTAGGGTTGTGAGGTCTCCATTTGTGTGAAAATTTGGAAACAGAGATTATTCAGTGAATTGAAAAAAAGAGCTAGAGGTGGGGAAAAGTTGCTTTTGGGGCTGTAACCCCATACCTTCCAACTGTCCTAATATGGCAGGGACAATCCTAATTAATCCTCTGTCGTTCCACTTTTCCAGCTGCTTTAAAAATGTCCCACTTTCTCTCCCCCCTAATTAGAAAATAAATAAAAAATATAGCATCCAATATTAAATATCCATGGTGCAATGTTTGGAATTCTGTTACTGTTTTTACTCAATGCAGCTGAAATAAAATATTTCAGAGCTGGAAAGGGTGCAGAAAAGGGGAACCAGAATAATCAAGGGACTGAAATAACATGCCCAACAACTATCTTGTTGACAGAGAGAGTCCTATTTAATCCTCTGATGTCCCACTTTTTCAGCTGCTTTTAAAATATCCCTGTAGACCCAGACTCTTTCCTCCTCCCACTTTCCCCTTCAGCTCAACTTATTTCAGTTGCTGCAAACTGAGTTCAAAGTGCAGAAGTAGATTGGACTCAGCTCAAGAGGGGGAGAGAAGAAAATGGGGCAGAGCTTTGCCCTTCCCTGCTGACTCAGGCAAAATTAAACTGCTGCTGCCTTTCCCAGCCCGTCTGCTCTTCTGCATTAATAACTTTTGCCATCTTGACCACACTCTGACATTGCTTGGCCACATGTCTTGGTTTTCATCTGTGAAATGTTGGTGGGTATGCAATGCCCAGAATACACCAGCTATCATCAGGGCTGCTGAGAGCTGGCACTGGGCCTGTTGCAAAATGTTATCATTGCCTCCAGCCTTCCTACAAACTAAATATATGTTTTGCTTTGCCATGTCTGAATCTTATTAATAATTTTTGGTGCTTACACACTGAGGGTTAGCAACAGACATTATAGCCACTCTGGTATGTTGAGATAATAACATTTATTTTGCTGCTTTTTTCACTGCCCAGACCCCCAGGGTCCTGAACCCTGGGCTTTTTGCCCTCTCCCATCTATTGTCTCTTCTCGGCCCTGACCAAGAATGCTAGGCCATACCAACTGGGGGCATATGGAAACTGTAATCCAAAAAGTAACATCTCCAAATTCTACCAAATGTTTGTATGTCTCTGCAGTCCCAACACATTGATAGTATTCTTTACCATGCATTACAGCAGGGCTGAGCAACCAACCTTAGCCCTCTAGTTTCAGTCAGCCCTAGTCAGCAAAGCCAATTGTGAAGGATCATGGGAACTGCAGTCTAAAAACATATCAAGGGCCATACATCCCCTGTCTCTCTTTTAAGTGACAATCTCTTGCATCAAGCCAAGTGAATTTTTTGTGCAATTTTTATATAGGAAAAAATGTGAAGCGATCCAGTGGAGCGTTGGCAGTAATGCAAAGAGGTATATTATGATATAGAGGTTTCTATGTAAAGTGCTATTCAGAAAATGGTACAATGAGACTAAAAGACATTTTGTAATATACCACTGTTTGCTTTCTACTTCCCAGATTTTCAGG